ATATATATATATATATATATATATATATATATATATATATATATATATATATATATATATATATATATATATATATATATATATATATATATATATATATATATATATATATATATATATATATATATATATATATATATATATATATATATATATATATATATATATATATATATATATATATAAAGTATTCATTGTGTATAGTACTAGTTTCCGCCTCTTTTGCCTTTCAAAATTAACCCTTCATTTCAAAAAAAGTGTGACCCGTATTGTTTTAATCTCATCTATAGAAATGTATATCACACAATTTCACATGACTTAAATTTCGTTTAGAGAAATACGGAGTAATAACTCTTCCGAAGATCGAGAAAGTATATGGTTTTTTAAAATTATTATTGCAAGCTTTCCTTGATATAATTTGATGTGTTTTAAGTGATTAATGGAGCTCGTTTTTTTACTTTTAGGTTTCTCTTGGATAACAATCCCGACCCAACACGTTGTGCTTGAACAACTTAACTATCATTTGTACGTGGAATGTATGCATGCATGTGATCGCGTGATCATCGATCATAACATCATTTGTTTATTAGTACGTCATGTTTCCTTATAATTAAGTGTTCGTAACTATTTGTGTTTTGTTTTGGTTGCTTGAGTATGGGTATGTGCACCCATCCAATCTATTTGGATGTTGTTTAAATAATAAGTGCTATGTGTGAGAACTTGTAACAATAATGTATCTACTCATCATGTTATCATTTTATATTCAGTTATTTTGTGTAATTTTTTTTTGGCATGATCTTTGATCAAATTATGTTTGGCCATAATTTTCCTATCTACGGTTGTAATTTTAATCTTTGGTTCAAATTATTATATTTTATATTTAAATATAATCGAGTAAAAAAAGTACCAAGCCAATTGAACGTTTTCTATTGAAGAATGTACTGATTTATATATAGTATATCAACGACTTTGGGTAGGCCTATGTTTTCTTTTGACATTGGACAAAGTTACTTGGTACTTCAAAATAAATTTCTAATTCATTTTGTGAAAAATAACAATTATTGAATTATGATTCACCTATTAAACTTGATCACATGCATCTATGCACGAAAAAAATTCGATTGAGCACATTCTAAGTAGGTGTGATGTATAATATGAATGTCATTAGCTTGTCAAAGAATTTCCTTTTTCATTCAAGAACTAAATCTACTACTGGAGTATAGGCACCATCCCGATAGAGATCTTGCCCGGGGTCACGGTATCGGTCTGGTTCGTGTTCTAATTTTGAAACCACCGGTTTGAGTACTCATTTTAATTGTATAATTGACTCCAAACTCGCTCCTTGGTGGTAAATATAATGAATCAACCTAAAACGAATTGAAAATAAGCATTAAAAACAATAAAAACAAAAAAAACTAAATCAATATTCGCTCCGACTGATTTTGGTACCAAAAACTGAAAAGTTGGAACCTTTAACCGACGGTTCCTGTGTTCTAAGACCGTCGATTCCTATTCCGAATTTCCGGTACCTGTTTGGAATCAGAACCGTGAAAGAAGTACTCCCTCCGTCCCAAAAAGAATGGGACGGTTTGACTTTTTGGGAAATTAAGGGAGGGATATTTTGGTATTGACTTTCCAAAAATACCCTTGATATGATGGGTAAAAGTAGGATGTGATGGGTAGATTATTAGAAAAAAGGTATGATGTGATAGGTAGGGTATGAAAAAGTAAGGGGTAAAAATGGTTTTTTAATAGAAATGTAACGAACTTTACGGGACGTAATTTTTTCTAAACGTAACAAACTTTTTGGAATGGAGGAAGTATTAATTAAAATGTATGGAGTAACTAGTTTTTCTCTATTATGCTATATACGTTTTGGCTTTTGGTTTTAGATCCCTGAGACCCTGACTAGTGCTCTACGTACTAGAGAGTATCTAACTACGGAGTTCATAGTATTAATTACCAAATAAGTAATTAATTAAGTACCATTAATATACAAACACCCAAAATATCCTTTAATCTAACCCTCACTATTATCCTTTTATCTCACTCAGCGAGCCAGCGGCTGCCTCATCACAACCCACCGCCAATTATACAACCTGCCGTCGCCTCCACTACTGCCCGCCATCATATTAATGTTTGTTGGTGCAGTTTAAATAATGCTTCTAATAAGGTTGGTGCAGTTTAAATAATGCCCGCCAATTTGAATACTGATAATTGTACGGAGTATAATATAACTAATGCTTCACAAATGTATAAATAGGGGTGTGCATTATTCGGTTTAGACGGGAACCATTACCGACCCAAAACATACTCCCTCCCTCGGTCCGTCCCAAAAAGAATTTTCTACTTTGATTAATGTGCAAAATTTCGTGGATTTTAAAATGATTTTAATTGCAAATTGGTAAGGAAATAACACATTAAAAAAATATATTTAAAAACTACATTGAAAACTCTACAAAATAAGAGGTGACAAGAATATTTTATTTTATCAAATGATCAATGAAAACACGCAAACAAATAAGAGTTATCGAGAGACCGTAATAGTAAACAAGAAAGACTTTTTGGGACGGAGGGAGTAATAAGAATAAAATGTTAGGTACACGTAGATAAATTTTTAAAGTTTCTTCTAGTTTTATCTAGTTTTTTCATGTTTCTTCCAGTTTTTTCTAGTTTCTTTTGATTCTTCTAGTTTCTTCCAATATCCAACTCTTTTTTCCAACCCCAAAGAATATGCTCTAAGAGTAATTTAATATTATATTTTTATTCTTATCACAACTTTTTTTAAAATAGCCAATTTAAAATAAAGTAACAATTCAAATAAAGTCTTTTCTGTTTCAAAAAAAAAAAAATTCTTATAACTTATGTTACACTATAATAATTTAAAGATTAATTCCATATTACAGTTTTTTATCACAAAAATAAAGTTTTTGTGGGACGACTAAAAGAATTGTTTAAAACATTTTTTACATCTTTTTGAAAAGGAAAGGAAACCTCCCTATATAAGAGAAAAAAGTATGAAAATACTAAAGTATCAGTCTAAGTTTTTAAAGATCAAAATAGGAGTATAATGACAGTGTAGTGTAAGAGCACGCGTTCGCAGTTCAATGAAAAAGTGATGACTGTGTAATAATGAAACAGACATTGACGATCTACGGTGGCACTCTGGTGGCCGTCGGTGACAGGTGACAGTGTGGCAGTGATAGTGTGATTGTTGCAGTGTAACAATGTGGTAAGTGTGACAATGTAACAATATCAGTTTGAATGTACTCCTAGAGTCCTAGTTTGACCTTAAAAAATCTAGGACTCCTATTTTGGTATTTTCATAGATTTTTACCCTTATGCATGAAGTTACCCATTTTTAAAATGGTGCCATTTTGTGTTTTTATTTATAAAAAATATACTCCCTCCGTTTCTTAAAACCCTTCCTCTTTCATTTTTTTTTGTTTTTCTTAAAACAATTCTCCTTTCTATTAAAAAACCACTTTTACCCCTACTTTTTCATACCCTACCTATCACATCATACTTTTTCACTAACAACTAAACTATCACATCTTACTTTTACCCATCACATCAAGGGCAAAATTGGAAAGTCAACTACAATTTAACACTTCCTTATTTTCTCCCAAATTCAAAAGAGGAACTCTTTTGAGAAACGGAGGTAGTATATGTAAGATTTGAGTACCGAGTTGTGATCCATCATCAGTAATTTCTCAAGCTTCTTTGTCATCAGTGTTGTACTTCAGTAGTATTATTGTTGACTTTTTAATTTATATTCAAAACGACATGTTTTAATCATTGGAATTGTGTCAGTACTATGTAAAAATAATAATTTTGATTGACAATGTTTAGTGTGCGGTACACATTACAAAATAATAATAGTAATACTTTTTCTTTACAATTGGATACTCTAAACTAAACTAATATCACACACGTGCGTTGCACGACTCGCAGTTACGTTATGAATTTATATTGGTATCATTATAAAAGGACATCTTTGAAAATATTGATATTTGAATCTCTTATCTGCGCATGAATCCGATTTCCCTGTAAATCAAGAAATAATTGTTTATGTAATAACAATTATTTGTTTAATAAATATAATGAATCTGGATCAAATAAAAGTTATAACAAACCTTTTGATCATGAAAGATAACATCAAAAGATTCTGGCGTTCGATCATGCGCAGCGGTTCGATAAACCCTTACAGCTCGCACTTTTACCATGAACGAACCTAAACCATCATCAATTTTGTCCAGAGTTGACCACAACCCATTATTGTTTACGTGTTTTTGTTTTAAAATTCGAGAACAATATATCGTCAATTTCGTAAATATGTCCTCAACAAAGCATTGCACCAGATCATAATTTATACCAAAAAAATATTTTCGAAAAGGAAACAAATTGGTAAAGTTTCCATTATTTTTAACGTAACAAATGTTAAATTACATTCTTCTTTTTTCATATTCTAACTATTACCATTGTCTATTTCTGTGATTTATTACATTTATTACTTTATAAATTTTATTTTATTAGCATTTTGTTCATTATTACTAATTTTATTCACAAAAATGAAAATAAAAAAATCAAAAATATTATAACTAACGGTTTGCTCCGGTTTTTTTTTAAATTCTTACCATTTTTTGTTATTTCCTACTTTCATTACTTAATTCGGATGGAAACAAAAATTGTTACCATTTTTGTTATTTTTTATTCACAAATATGGTAAGAAATCAATCCGCCCCTTCCTTTTTGGCCATATTTCACCATTTTTGGCTTTGGGGTGTGATGGAATAAATCAAAATGGATCTCTAAACTATCTGCGCTTCTTTAATTAATGAAGTAGCAGTTAGTCAAACACTGCAACTTTCGATGTTGAGCCGGGGGTCTCTTTGGAAACAGCCTCTCTACTTTCGAGTAGGGGCAAGGTCTGCGTACACACACCCTCCCCAGACCCTACTCTTGTGGGATTTAACTGGGTTGTTGTTNATTTTTGGCTTTGGGGTGTGATGGAATAAATCAAAATGGATCTCTAAACTATCTGCGCTTCTTTAATTAATGAAGTAGCAGTTAGTCAAACACTGCAACTTTCGATGTTGAGCCGGGGGTCTCTTTGGAAACAGCCTCTCTACTTTCGAGTAGGGGCAAGGTCTGCGTACACACACCCTCCCCAGACCCTACTCTTGTGGGATTTAACTGGGTTGTTGTTGTTGTTGTATCAATCCTGAAATCAATTTAATATTACAATCAGGTAATCAATTTAATTGGTCAACGTATTAGTTACGTTCCTTCCTTTTCGGTCATATTACAATGCATTCAATTTGTAACATTGAATTAGTCAAAAGTTTCCTTTAATATATCCTTCTAAATTGGTAATATTACACAACCAATCAAAGCCGCAAATCTTCTTCGTACATTGATATTGACGGTGCAGGATTACGGTGCGTTGGGCGGGAAAATAATTCCCCTGCTTTTAAGAATAGAATTGATTGATATTGATATTGATATTGATATTCATATTGCTATTGGTATTGGTATTGGTATTGATATTGATATTGATATTGATATTGATATTGATATTGGTTGATAAAATGGTATTATTATTATTTTGATATTTTCATCATCTTTTACTTTTATTTAGGTGCTTCTTCCAAGAAGATAGTGGAAAGAGCAATATAGAAAAGTCAAAGCCTTTTTCATTTAACATTAAAAAATGTACCAAATCAATACGAGAAGAAATATATATATATATGCAATGGGGCGAAGGGAGTAGTATTTATTTTATGAATTAAGTTTTATTTTAAAATAAAGCATACTAAAGTACTCCCCCCCTAAAAATATGGGAGATTGTGATTTTTAAGGGGTTAAAGAGAAATGTATTTTGTTGTTAAATTTCCAAAAATGTCTTTAGATGTGATGGCTAAAAGTAAGATTTGTTAGGTAGATTAGTAGTGAATAAATGTGATGTGATAGATACGTTAAGAATTAGTTGAGATTTAATGTAAAATGACTTTTTAATAGAAATGAGAAAAACTTTTTGAGATAGATAAAAAAGAAAAAGTCAAATTTGCAGTGAATAGGACTAAAACATAAGTCATTTTCCAATGTAGGACTTAAACTTTTTTATTCCCTAAATAGGACTTAATAATGTCTAGTGAGAAGAATAATGTCCAAGTGATGCTGGATATTTAGTTGAATAATGACTAATAGATAATGACCAATGGTCCTATATTGGGAAATAAAAACTTATGGTCCTATTTTGAGAAAGCCATTATGTTTTAGTCCTATTTAGGTAAATTACTCAAAGAAAAAAAGAAAAATTTTTAGGGACGGGGGAGTATTATTTTAAAAAATAAGATATGTTTCGATCGGTACCCCTCTGTACTCGTTTTAATTAAAATGTTGGTTCTTTGATATGGTATCCGATTTTTGTTGACCAAGAGAAAAAAGAGTTTAAATCTCATTGCACCTGCTTAAAAAGTTATTTCCACTTGTAAGCCAAGAGCATATTGAAAACAAATCTCGCTTGCACGTGAAGGGACGTGTTTAAATTAAAACTCTCTTGAACATTCACATATTTAAATTTTTGGTTGAATTATTTTTTAATAACATGGCATTAAAGATAGGGTTTATCTTTGACCTCTACTAGATTGGCCGAGCGGTGTGCCCCGCGACTGTCGCTCTTCTTCTTCTTTTTTCCCTTCATCGATTGGCGATCTACTTTCTTTGCCAACGCCAACTTGACTTGAGAATCCCTAATTTAAAATAAGTATTAACCTTTGATATATCATTAATATAAAAATTATATGGTAAATTAATTAGAAAAGAAAACATTTGAAAAAAAATTATACAGAATAAATCTAATAAATTATTCTATATCAATATATAACACGAGTAACAATTCTATTTAATTACAAGTAATGATTAAAATTTGTCGATTTTAAGTTTTAACTGTATAGAATTAAAACTGGACAAACATTTCATATATAATAATACCTCCGTCGTAGAATATTTATTCAATTTTGACTTTTTGATATCAAAATCGATAAAATTCTATCATTCAAAGGTTAACATTTTACTTTCTTTATATATTTTCGTCGATGATTTGATAAAATTAAATGACTTTATCAAAGCTTGTTTGTAGAACTTTTGATATAATTTTTGATAATATTTTCAGTCAAACATGGTAAACCGAACAAAAACCTTATTTTTGGACGGAGAGAGTAAATTTTAGGACAAAGCTAGATTGATGAGTAATGTTTAAGAGACAAACAACTTGGACACGAACTTCACAAACTTACCATTTATGTATTTAAATTTTTATTTTTAAATGATTTAAAATCATTTTATTTACTTGGGAAAGTACACAAATAGTAGTCTGTGTAGTTTATGTCCAAATTGTTTGTGACTCTAGCATTACTCAAAATTAATTTTAATTGACAGTAAGAATTCAAAATTGAAAAAATAGGAAATTTTCCGTAAAAGGCATGTAGTGCAAAATATGAATGTGACAATACTCAACGTGGGCGTGGGGTAGGGAAATAAACAAATCAAATACTTTAAATTCGATTCGTGACTTGTATTTGAATATAATGATTCAGATTCGCATAATTTGTATACAAATTCAAATTCAAATATTAATCTTGAATCAAATATTAAACAAATACAAATGCAAATAGAGGCGCATTCGATTCGGATGATATTCAATTCGAATATATATACACAGACCATGTTTTCAACACCAGTAGTCCAGAAAATTATTATAGTATAAAGTCCGTTTAAATATCTATGATTTGTGAATTTTACGTAACACAAAATTTAAAATATATCCGGGTATGATTTTTAATAGTTATTTATTATATAATTTGTGTAAGATGCAAATGTATGAGTTCTTAAGAAATCATCCTAAATAGGAGTAAAACATAAAGAAAGTACTAAAATAGGAATTCCATGTTTTTATTTTCTAAATAGGAGTGTACATGATCATTTTACGTAATGTACATGGTCATGATTGATAATGTAAATGCATTTTAACTCTTATTTCAAGAATAAAAATATGGAACTCTCATTATGATATATTTTCAATGTTTTACTTTTACTTGATTCTTTTTCCTCTAACTCTTTTATACATAGTACAAGTAAATATTACGGAGTATAAGTTAAATTATTCAAAATCGACATATAAAGTACATAGTCGATTATTCGTTTAAGACTCGTTAAATATTCGAATATTAATCAAATACGGAATACAAATACAAATCTTATTTTAAATTTTTTCCATTTCATATTCGAAAAAATTACACAAATAAAAATTCAAAGATTCTAATATTAACTTCGATTCGATTCGTTTACAATACTAAGGTGGGGAGAGAATCAAAAGGGTAAAAGGACAAGTAGGGAAGGAAGAGTGAATGGGTGAAGGAAGAAAGCATTGACTGGGTGGGTGTGGGAGTAGGAGGAGCACACCCGCCCCCCGCGTGGCAGCCCCCGCCGTCACCTGCAACCCCGTTTCTCTAGGATTACACCGTTGAATTTTCCTCCCACTCCCTCCCTACAAATTCATCTCTCTCTCTCTCTCTCTTTATCTTTCGGCATCGAGGACTCTCCTGTCAAGTGAATGAAATTTGGGTTACTTTTCCACGGAACCTGTACTTCTGAACTCATCATCTCCTTGAGCTGACTTATCCTGCCCCTTTAGCTTCGGGTTCGCCCATCTGATTCTTGATTTTAGACTTTTCAAATTAGGGATTTTGACCGTTTCTTCCGAGTCAAAGAGCTAGCTGCATGAAGATGCTCGAGAAGGGAAATCTCGGTTCTTAGGCAGATGGGAATCATGGATCGGAGGGTTTCTGCCTCTGCGGTTCTGATATTATGCCTCTTCTTGCCCTTTCTTCTTCCGCTGGTCTCTGGCAACACCGAAGGTCGGTCTGTTCTTTTGGTCCCCTTTCAGTTTTCTACTTTTCTTATCCATGATTTGAGCATCATGATGATGGGATTTTTTTTCATTTTTTTTATATCGGTTATGATCAATACATACATCTCCTGTTCGCTTTGAATTGGTCAAAATCAGATCTTTATTCAGGAATTCGGTGCAATGTAGCAGGAATGATTTATCCTGCTCATTCTTGAACTAGCAAATGTGCTGGGAAATGTTTGAAATTTTGAAACATGAGATATTGAGTTCATGAGTTGTGTAGTAATTACTATATGCCTAAAGGATATCAGCTGATAACTATTAGGCTATTTGTATAAGACAGGTGATGCTTTGAATGCACTGAAAAGCAATTTGGCTGATCCCAACAATGTTCTTCAGAGCTGGGATCCAACCCTCGTCAATCCCTGCACCTGGTTTCATGTTACCTGCAGCACTGACAATAGTGTGACAAGAGTGTAAGATTTTCTAAGAGAAATTATGCCCTAAATTTCATCAATATGTGTAACTTGATTTGTCCTTTTAGACACTCATGTTCATGTTCAATTTTAGTGATCTGGGAAATGCAAATTTGACGGGTCAACTGGTTCCACAGCTGGGTCAGCTTCCTAATTTGCAGTACTTGTAAGTCTTTTGGCCTTTTTTTTGGGGCATGTATCATGCTTTGCAAATATTTCGTTTTCAGCTTATGTTATTGAAAATCTTGTTTTGTAGGAGTATATTTTTCTAGTTTCATTTCTATTAACATTGTCATTTGTGTTACATAAACTTGCTAACTTATTCGCTTTTATTTATTTACTGTAAGTAGTGTATGCCTTTTCATACCCCATTTATCCCCCAGCTTGATTTCGATGTTCTTGCACACTAAATCAAGAAGAAATGAACAGAGATGGAGTCCCAAATCATTGTCAATGTTTCTAGCTATCTGTATAATAATATGTAAAGTCTAATTCTTACGGAGTATGTGCTATAAATCTATATTTAGTTAGTCCAGTGAGTAGTGACCATATTAGCCATCTATATCTTTATGCATTGCATTTTCACTTACTAAATAGTAAATAGAACAAGTTCATAAATGCTAGTTGTAGATTACAATACGTATGACAAGTGTTGCTTTTTTCTTTTCCTTTTTTTTCTGTAATACCTTAAGTCCATTATATCCCACTCAATAGTAAGGTCTTGTTGGGTAAGATGGTTGCAGATCTTACCTCTAAATCTCTAACAGTCTAACCAAAGTAGTAGAATGGCTATTTCCGAGATG